ATGTTTTAACAGTGACGACATTCTAGACCGGAGAAGCACATAATAAAATCTTTGAAAAGTCTCACCTCCAGATCAGCTCCATAATCCTCCTGCTCCACACTGTGTGTCTCTGCTCTCTTCTCTGTCCTGTGTCCTGTTATATTTGAATTTTCCCTCCAAAAGTTTTGGGGAGGAGAATTCCAGAGGGAGGAGCCTCACTAGAAATTATAATAAAGTCATGTTTCCTCAACCTGATTAAAACATGCAGGTCTCACATCCACCACAATCAAGCGATGTTTGTAAGATTTAAACATGCTTGACAGAGAAACGTAAAAAAGTGATGTTATTGTTGTCAAATTTGTTTTTCCAATTTGAACAACCCCTCTCGGACCGTTTTTTCAGTGTATAGTGTTCACTTCCAGTCAAATGAAGCTCATGGGGTTGGCGGTTATAGTTGTGAATTTGGAGCTGAGTTCCACATTAGGAATAAGAATAAAAAAGCGAAATAAAAATCAAGTAGAGTTGGGTTAATATGAACATTTAAGACCAAAACAAGTCCTTAAAGATTCTCACGGAGCCCTCAGAGATTCTTAGAAAAGACGTCCAAACTAGATTTTGAGATTTTAATGAACAGATGGCTTCTTCATCGCTTCAGTGTAATGTATTTTACAATGATTGTTATTATGACATCTTTATTTACCAGAAAAATATTATATTTTTTTTATAAAACAGTAGCTTTTCAGGTAGGAGAATAATGTGGTGGCAGCCGCCCACACCTGCGCAGTCCAGCACTGCACCCACCCGTTGAACCCGTGATTTTATCAAAGTTAAACCCGCACCCGCCTGGATCCGTTAACATTCCAACCGTGCCCGAAATCACACACAAATTAAATTCATTAAATTCAACTGAAGCATCCATCAGATGCAAATTTAAAAGTTATGACTTCAGCAATTACAATCATGAAATGAAATGAAACAGTTTTGCTTTCTTCAGTACGAACACGAATTCACAGATGCGACTCGACTGTCATCACCTCACAGGATTTATTTACTGAGCAGAAGAAACAATGTTAGAGATGCTACACTTCTGCACCACACACACCACGGACTGAAACAGGACTGAAACAGGACTAAACCAGAACTAACCTAGGACTGATCCCAGAACTGAACCAAAAGGAGTAAACCAGGACTGAACCAGGACTCACTGTGGGGACTGGTTCGGAGGTGCACCCGTGTAGCACAGAGGTAAGTGGTTTAGACCTTGTTTAGTCCTGGCTGAGTCCTGATGTAGTCCAGTTTTAGTCCTGATTTAGACCTGACCCACCCGTGTGTAATCACTACCCGCCCACATACCTGCTCGTAAAATTCCAGAACGTTAAAACCCGCCTGTTTCATCAACCATTTGCCCGTAACCGACCCGGTGCCGAACTCTTGTGCCCGTAACCGACCCGGTGCCGAACTCTCTGTGTGTGTGTGTGTGTGTGTGTGTGAAGGGGGGGGGGAGTGAAACGTCTAAGATGGACTTTTACTTTTGCGTTTTTTGATGTGAGGCGGTGTCCTGTTTTTTTATTTTTATTTTATCTGTGAGCAGTACTGGACCTCAGATCACTTCTGCTTTAACTAAATGTTAGCTCAATAGTATGAATGGAGTTGTCGTGTCAGGAGTGGAGCATAAAATAGCCCTGTTTGCAGACGATGTACTGTTCTATTTGGAGAAACTAAACTTATCATTACCAAACTTGATGCATTGTTTGACAGAATTTGGTAAACTGGCAGGCTATAAAATTAATGTTCAAAAAACCCAAATAATTGCTTTTAATTACGAGCCAAGTTTAGCTATAAAACAAAATTACTTGCTGAAATGGGACCAGCAGTCAATGAAGTATTTAGGTATAACATTAACGAAAGATTTGGACAACTTGAAAATGGCAAATTATAATTCTGTAATATCTAATATAAAAACAGATTTAGCTAAATGGAATTTAATTCCTTATCTAAGTCTTGCATCTAGAGTGGAAATAATTAAGATGAATATTCTGCCTCGACTATTATATATTTTTCAAAATCTCCCTGTTGAGGTGACGGATAAAGACTTCAAAGAATGGGACAAATTAATTTCTAGATACATATGGCAAGGAGCAAGACCACGTACAAAATTTAGAACTTTACAATTGGCAAAAAATAAGGGTGGTCTGGCGCTTCCATGTTTAAAAAGTTACTATCAAGCTGCTCAGTTAAAGGTGTTGCTGAGTTTGTGCGATCCAGATTATGTTGCAAAATGGAAAGACATCGAGGGTAATATGAAACCACCAATACAGGCGTTAATGTTTGATGTTAAATTACAAATATTGAAGAAACAAAAGGTTAACCCTTGGCTGTGGGTGTCTCTGTCAATCTGGTCCAGTCTCTTGAAGAAGCATAATTTAATAGAGCAATGTAGATTATTTAGATTGATCGCATACGATACTGATTTTGGTCCAAACCAGTTGGATGGCACCTTCAGAGCATGGGAAAATGGTCCAAAAATGCATTGGGAGATAATAAAAAACAAAGAAATGCTAAGTTTTCAACAGATAAGGGACATGTTTAATCTTGGTAAGCAGGATTTTCATGGATACCTACAGCTAAGGCACTATTTAAAGCAAGAACTTAATAAAGTAAACTGGGACCTATTTCAATCAGGGATTCTTAAAATATTTCTGGATGCACTTAAATCAGAGTTAATCAGTAAAATTATATCTAAACTATATACAGCTTTGGAAGCTTTAAAAGGGGACACCACAGAGTATGTGTAAGAAAGATGGGAAAGAGAAGCCAACATTGTAATTTCAGTAGAGGATTGGGAACAAATAAGTTTAAGTCAGTGGACAACCACAAACTCTGTATTTTGGAGGGAATATGGATGGAAGAACATAAGTAGATTTTTTCTGACCCCTGCACAGAGGAAATATGCAGATACGAAATGTTGGAGATCTTGTGGTACTTCCAAGGCAGATCACTTTCACATTTTTGGGGGGATGCCCACTATTGAAATCATATTGGACAGGAGTTAAAATTATTATTGATAAAGTAGTAAATTGTAGTGTTCCCCTAAACTTTGAAGTTTTTTATCTGGGTAAAACTGATATACTGAACTTAACTAGAAGGATTGATTATAATATACTGAAAATTATGCTGTTGGCGAGCAAAAAGGCAATCACAAAAAATGGCGGACGGATCAAATACCTAAGGTGGAAGAGTGGGTGGATGTAATGCTCAATATCTACAATATGGAGAAAGTGACGGCATCAGTTAGGTTGGAGAAAGACAAATTTGAAAATTTATGGGGGGGATGGTTAAATTATATTAGACAAACACGTTCTGACTTTGTATAGAGTCTGAAAATTAGCAGTCTGTTTTGAAATATGTCTTTGGTGTGATGTAGAGTAATGTATAAAATAACATCTTAAAGCACACCCTGGTTCTATGCTACAATGTTATTTCTACAAAAATCTGTAAATAAATAGTTTTCAGTATCACTGTCGTGTTACATAGGCATCACAGACAACACTGGCCTTCCTTTTACAGCAATGTAATGTGATTGTAACAGCGCATTGTTCTTGACAAAATCCATGTTACTGATATTAGCAAATATCCAAAACAATTAACAGTATAGAGAATTGTAACTATGATTGTCAATGAATTTTCAAACTAAACCTTAGTAAACAATGACCAGTTCGGGCTTGAAGCACATGTAAACTAAATTTAAGTTACAATAAACATAATTTTTAATGCATCAATAATGTAATTCTCTTCTCTCTTTGTCAAAGGAACAGCAGCCCTTGTTAAGTCCTTTTTTTAGCCTTATTTAGACGTGGATTAGTCCTGTTATAGACTTGGTTTAGATCTCTCTATTACAGAAATCCAGCAGACAGAGGACAGGAGTTTTAGCCCTATGCACTCACTCATATAAAGTAATGTCAGTAATGGAAAACTCGTATCTCATTGTTGTCGTCCAAACCGAGCTGAATCAGATCAATCAATTCCTTTTACAGCAATGTAATGTGATTGTAACAGCGCATTGTTCTTGACAAAATCCATGTTACTGATATTAGCAAATATCCAAAACAGTTAACAGTATAGAGCACTGTAGCCCTGGTTCTATGCTACAATGTTATTTCTGGTTTATTTAATTTACATATATATATATATATAAAAAAAAAAGTATGTAGGTAAATGTCAAATGTAGGTGAATGTACCTAGTGTAAGGTGAATGTCTGTAAATGTGGGTATAAGATATGCCTTTATTAGTCCCACAGTGGGGAAATTCCAGTGTTGCAACGCACTATTACAGAACAGCAGGAAAAGGTAACACAGATAATAAATAATAGCTTAAAAATAATTTAAAAATAGACTTAAAAAAATAATTGCACATGGTTATGATTTACTGGTACATGTTCAGTGTTGACAGTGTTTATTGTAAAGTCTGACAGCAGCAGGAAGGAAAGACCTGCGAAACCTCTCCTTCACACAGCGAGGGTGAATCAGTCTGTCACTGAAGCTGCTCTCCAGAGCAGACAGAGCGTCCTGCAGGGGGTGAGACTCATGGTCCAGCATAGAGATGACCTTAGTCAGGACCCTCCTGTCCCCCACCTCCTGCACTGAGTCCAGAGGACAGCCCAGGACAGAGCTGGACTTCTTGATGACCTTGTCCAGCTTCTTCCTCTCCCTCTCTGTGATGCTGCTGCTCCAGCAGACCACACCGTACAGGATGGCTGATGCCACCACAGAGTCATAAAAGGTCTTCAGGAGTGGCCCCCCCACTCCAAAAGACCTGAGTCTCCTCAGGAGATAGAGCCTGCTCTGGCCCTTCCTGTACAGTGCATCTGTGTTGTGAGTCCAGTCCAGTTTATTGTTCAGATGAACACCCAGGTACTTATATGAGTCCACTCTCTCAATGTCCCTTCCCTGGATGTTCACTGAGAGGATAGTAGAGTGACGTCTGCGGAAGTCCACCACCATCTCCTTGGTCTTCCCTGCAATGATGATGAGGTGGTTCTGCTGACACCAGTCCACAAAGTCCTGTATTAGTCCTCTGTACTCCACATCATTATCATCCTTGATGAAGCCAATGATGGCAGAGTCATCAGAGAACTTCTGCAGGACGCAGCTGTCCGTGTTGTGTCTGAAGTCTGCAGTGTAGAGGGTGAAAAGAAAGGGCGCGAGGACAGTGCCCCCACACTACCAGTCAGGAGGTCAGACACGCAGTTCGTGGATCTCACAAACTGGGGCCGGTTTGTGAGGTAGTCCAAAATCCAGTCTGCCAGGTCACAGTCCACACCAGCAGTCTCCAGCTTGTCCCTCAGGAGCAGTGGCTGGATGGTGTTGAAAGCACTGGAGCACTCACTCATATAAAGTAATGTCAGTAATGGAAAACTCGTATCTCATTGTTGTCGTCCAAACCGAGCTGAATCACCACCACCGTTTGTCGCAGGACGATATCGAGTCAATAAAGGTCTGAGCAGCAACATTAAGGGATAAAAAGGTGTAAAAGAAATGAAACAAAGACATAATTGCCAAAATGAGCTTTAAAAGTCCTATATTTCACAAAATTGACCCTTGTGAGCTTTAAACCATATTATGCTGTTAGCTCATCAAAAATATACCTGGAGTTGTGTTGTGTTTTATTCCCACATTTGAGTGTCTGTCTACATTTCCAGGCTCAAAAATGCTCACCTTGAGATGTCATGCAGTGGTATTTTTTTTACAGCTACTTTTTACCTTTAGTTCATTAGAGATTAGCAATTCCAGGTCTGAAATAATCTAAATGGCCCTTGTGAAGGTGTATGGAGTGTAAAAAAAAACAATAGCACAATTCCTATATTACCTCATGACATCACAAGTTGGAACAGTGTTTTCAGTTTGAGAGAAGAACTACAAGAACCACAAGATTTGTGTGTTAAACATGTGAATGAAACAAAACACAACTCCAGGTCTGTTTGTGATGAAGAAACAACATAATTTAGAGCAAAAAATAGTGTAATATAGGCCCTTAAGTCTCATTCAAATTGTGGACATTAATATTTAGTAAGACAATATTATTTTACTGAAAGGATACATGTTGGTGTCTTTGCGTCGGCTCTCGAGCCACCTCTTGTTACTGTCAATAAAGTCCCGAAGTCTGTGTCCGTCTGCCTCTGTGGTGCTCTGCCTGTAGGGGGCGCTCCAGTTGCTTTGACTAAAACACAAAAACATGAGTCCACTCCAAAAATATATCTAATATATGACACAAGCTATTATAACAGTAACAACACAATAACAGTGTATTACCTGAGAGGAGTGTGAGAAGAGTAGGAGGTGCTACGTTTAGAAACACTTGGCCCCATTGCTGCTCCTAAAATATTCCAACATAATATAGATTTTTTTTTACAATAAGAATTGCTAGCATATAATACAATACAATAGTAATTAAATATTCATGTAGCTTAAATTATTTTAAATGAAACACCACAACAGATCTATCATGAAAATATGTGATCCCTGTATCAAAAGGTATAGATGGCAATTGTCTGAGCGAACACAATCTAACTTAATAAAACAAAACATATTATTGTGTACCAGGAAATATCTGCCTCCATCTGCTGTTGATGAGGTCCTCTGAGGTCTTCAGTCCAGTGTTGACAGTGGAGCTGAACATTGGAGGTGGCGGTGCCCAGTTTTCAGACATCTGTGAACGCCTCATGTGGGCTGTGCTGAAGTCCAGCCCGGGCTGAGGTAGAGAGAAGGCGGGGTTTGGTCTTTGGTCTAAAGAACCTAGCACTCCCACCGCCGTGTTCAACTGCCCTGAAATCACCTGCAGGGACTCCTGCAGGGACTCCACCAGGTCCTGGACTCTGTGTGGGACTGCAGCCTGATCTGAAAACAAGCATTAGATTAATGTAGTTTACTGTTAACATTTGAATCAATCTATATAGACTAATGGTTAAAAAGTATTTTATTATTTCTTTAAGTAAAATGTAACTTTTCCAATGCCACCTGCTTTTGCGGACCCTCCACGAGAAAAGCTATATAGTGCACCTTTAAATAACGCTTTTTACTAAACTCATACACCAGTGTAACACTGGAAACTGGAATGAAGTGTCTTGCTCATGGACACAATAAGAGTATTTCCTGTCAGTAGCAAGAACCGTCAATTATCAGGTTATTGGACAAACATCTGTACCTTTTTATAATGACATGATAGATTCCTTTGTGTTTGTAATACTAAAGGCTAGGTAATTCCAGTGTCTTGCTCAAGAACAGAAACAGAATATACTTCATCAATAGGAGGAATCAAAACCAGCATAACTGCAGTTAGTGTGCTCTACAAACTCATCTGTTATTGCCCCTAATAGTACATATATTTTTACCTCTGGTGAAAGGTGGGTCCACAGTGCTGCTCACATCTGACTCACTCACATCAAAAGTCACAGTTCTTTCAGGTATTCGAGAAGTATTTTCAAACAAAGGCTGTAGAAAAAAAACAAGTTCAGTTTGACAGACTAACATCCTTGTCAACAAGAATACAGGACAATTTGTAACAATTCAAACTAAAACTTTATCAAGTAGTGATGGCTGCACCTTATCGGTCAAGGAGCTCTCCAAATGCTGAAGTTTCTCCTCTTTTCTCTGTAGAAGTGAGATACCTTTTTGAACTGTCTGTTGCAGATCACCCACAATTTGGGCTTCCTGAAAGAAAAAATAGGAGAGCATAAAAACAATTAATTCTTGTTTTAACAATATACCTATTGTTGTATGCTAATGAACCCTTTTATTGTTTGATTATGTTATTGTTGATTGTTTATTGATTATGTTATGAAGGGCAGGGCCTAGTATTACAAGCAGATACTTTTGATTAGATTTTTAATACACTGTTGTGAAGTAGAAAAATAC